TGGAAAGCTCTCGAGATAAGCTATAAAAATATGCAATAAAATGTAGGGGATTCCATTTAAAAAAATAAGGTTAACCTTGAAATGACCTTAAAGAACATGGTCAAGATCAAAGTCAAGGTCATCATCTTACTCCTCGCTTGAAACTATACAACTTTGCTATTGGACATTTTCTCCAAAATGCATTCTAACTGAAGATATTAGGGGGGTCCGATACTTTTCGATGACCCTGTATGTATTCTATAGTTTGCATTAGTAAAAAACCTTTCATTTTCATTCATTTTCAAAAATTTTCCTTCGACCTTCCGATGGGTCTTAATAATTTTCTAATAATGGAACAACACTGCAAGTAAAATTTGTCAAGATCAAGACTATTGGAGATTATTCCTCTCATTTTCATTTTTGCACTAAAAATTCATTTTTACGTAAAAATGAAAATAAGAGATACAACTTCCATTGGCTTTGATCTTGATAAATGATATCCAGGACATGATTCCTGAACAGCATTCAAAAGGTTTTAGCCGTCGATCGGACACCTTGGGTAACGCTAATGCTGGCGATACCGTAATTTTCAAGCATCATAATTCAAAAAGTACTTAATGAAAAATATTTTCTTACAGTATTTTGAAAAGCTCTCGACACCAGCTATTAGATTCTGCCATTAAAAATAGGGTGTTCCATTAAAAAAAATCGATATGACCTTGACCTGACCTTGGCGAAGCCACCCAAAGTCAAATCAATGGTACCTTCTTATGTCCCCCTCTGAACCATACAACTTCAAAGGTACAGTACCGCCGGCATTAGCATTATTCAAGGTGTTCGACCGACGATTAAAACCTCTTGAATGTTGTTTAGGATCATGACATGGATAACATTTGTCAAGATCAAGGCTATTGGAGGTTGTACCTCTTATTTTCATTTTTGCGTTAAAAATTTAAGCAAAAGAGAGAGAGAAAGAGAGAGGGAAAAAGAGAAAGGGGGAGGAGAGAGAGGGAGGGGGAGAGGGTAGAGAGAGAGAGAGGGTGGAGAGAAAGGAGGAGGGGGGGGGAGAGAGAGATTAATTGATTGATTGAGCTTTTATTTCAATTCTAGGGTAAACCCTTTAAGAACTGTATAACAATGTAGTTTATAATGGTAGTTATAACAATGGAAATAATATAATTAAAACAATAACATAAAA